TTTGAGACCAGCCTGAGCAAGAGCGAGACCCCGTCTCTACCAAAAATAGAAAGAAATTAATTGGACAGCTAAAAATATATAGAAAAAATTAGCTGAGCATGGTGGCACGTGCCTGTAGTCCCAGCTACCTGGGAGGCTGAGGCAGGAGGATCGCTTGAACCCAGGGGTTTGAGGTTGCTGTGAGCTAGGCTGATGCCACGACACTCTAGCCAGGGCAACAGAGTGAGACTCTGTCTCAAAAAAAAAGAAAGAAATTAGGCTGGACATGGTGGCTTGTGCCCATAATCCTAGCACTGTGGGAGGCTGAGGCGGGAGGATTGCTTGGGCTCAGGAGTTTGAGACCAGCTTGAGCAAGAGCAAGACCCCATCTCTACAAAAAACAGGAAAAAAAAATTAGCCAGGTATGATGGTGTACACCTGTAGTTCCAGCTACTCCAGAGGCTGAGGCAGGAGGATCTCTTGAGCCCAGGAGTTTGAGGTTGCAGTGAGCTACGATGACGCCACTGCACTCTAGCCAGGGCAACAGGGTGAAACTCGGTCTCCAAAAAAGAAATTAATACGTGGGTACTGAGCATGCTGTTGCTGCTGAGGTATCATCACTCTAGGTCCTCTCAGCATACAGCTAGGAAGTTTATGTATAGACATACATAATCACACAGATTTATGTGCACACACATCTGTATGCATTTCTCCATCCGTGTATATATTAAAAACCACGAGTTCATATTGATACCTCCAATTCCAGTCCATTTACACAGGGTAGAATAAGCCTTTTCATATTTGTAGCTCTGTTCTCCAGTAGTGAGAAACCAAGCTCTCATTCATTCTCTCTCTCTCTCTCTTCCTTTGTCTCACTAACACAGACTTTTGCTGAACCATTTGAAAGGAAGTTGGAGATACTATGCCATTTCATTCCTAAATAATTTCACATGCTTCTCCTAAGAACAAGGCAGTTTCTTTTATAATTATAGTGTGAGTGTCATACTTAAGACACTACAGTTATTCCTACTCACATTTCCCCAGTTGACCCAATCACAACCCTTATAGCTCTTTTTTTTCTTTTACCGATGCAGGATATAGTTAAGGATCATATATTGCAATTAGTTGTCCTGCTTCTTTTGTCTTTAAACTAGAATGTTTGTTTGTTTTTTTGTCTTGTATGACATTTACATTTTGAAAAGACCAGGCCGTTTTGCAAATTTGGATTTGCCTGATCATTTCCTCAGTATCGAATTCAGATTAAATATTTTCTGGCAAGAATACTTAGGTGGTGGCATGTCCCTTTCAGTGTATCATATGAAGAGATACATGATGCTGTTTTGTCCATTTGTTGGCATAGTAAAATTGGATCACTTGATCAAGGTGATGACAACCAGATTTCCTCATAATAGCTTTTCTCTTTTGTATCCTGTTCCCCTAACAGCTTTTCACCCAGTGATTTTAGCATCTATTGATGATTCTTGCCTGATTGAGGTAATACAGTGGTGGGTGCAAAATGAAGACTTCCTAATATATTCATTTCTTCTACGTTTAATAGTTTGGCCTTCTTTAAATAAGAGCATTCTGTTTTACCCCTCAACCCAATTTGTTTGCTTCAGTCACTTCAATTCCTTTTTCTATCTCAGTCACTTTAAACACACTTTTATTAATAATGAGTCTTTGTCCAATAGTTCAATTATCTAAAGTTCTTGCAGGTTAAATACTGACATTTTTGTCTTGTCGACTGTTATGCTTGGAGGCTTGCTTGTTTCCTTGTGGTTTATGTAATTCTGTTTGTTTTGGTGAGCTTATTGTCGGTAGAGGTTTGTGAGTGTTTTGTCTGTCCTGGGCAGGTTGGGTGGATGCCCTGTCTCTTCCTAGCCATCTTGTATTTGCCTCTGTCAGGTACCTAAGGAGTATCATTGCCCTTGAGCTAATTTAAGTGATTTCTAAGCTTGTACATTCCTGGACCTCACAGGTACTGTAAATAGATACTCTAAACCCAAGTAAAGATGAATCTATGATTTTTAAATCTCAGGACTTTAAAAAAAATTTTCCCAACAACCTAAGACAGATGTGCTTCCTTTATCTCATGGTGCCAGTGGACAGATTTTTTTTTTCTTATCTACTCAGAATGTGACCCTTTGAAATTCCTGACACTATGCTGGGAGCAGGAAATGGGGGTAGAGCAAAGGTCTTAATCCAACTCTTTACTCTCCCTGGCCGAAATCCTTATCTCCAATTCCCACTTGGGCACTGAAGTCCAAGCTGATAGATTTCTCAAGGCCTGTAAGATTCTCTAGAGCAGCCACAGCCCACAGGCTACTCTGATTTTCAGTTCTCTCTTCACTTTTAGCCACTGACTATTCATACCCTTACTTTTTTGCAAGGTCCATTATTCATTTAAATAATCTGTTTTATTTAGTGAACAGTTTTAGATACTTATGTTGGGAGATATTTTAGATTATCTGGTTTGCTATGTTGCCAGATTTCCAAATCTCTCTGTGCTTTGATTCTTGGGTCTTCGAGATTATCCGTCTATAGTTTTTGTGCTATTTGTTGTTGGTGGTGGTGGTATTATTGATGTGTTCATCACAGAAAGGCCCTAATTTGTCACTGTTTGCTGTATATATATTTGATTTACTTAATGCCCAAGAGGTATTAAAAATTCCTGTTTCTATCCATTATCTATCTAAGGCCAGTCTTCAGTGAAACTTTTCCCAGGTTCAAGTTTTTTCACAGAAAGCTTACTATTACTAAAGTTAATAGTGAATATGATTAATCAAAATAGGATAACTTTATCATTACCCTGTTTCTTATCTTTTCCTGTTCCCTATTTATTACATCATTTGTGTTTGTTTACAACTTCTTTTCTTGACATTAATTCATTCCTATAAAGTCAATTTTGTCAGAAGTCCTACTGGGAAATTTCATGTCACACAAAGTGTGATATTTCTTGACATAATTATTTTTATTTTTGTGTAGTATGTTTAGCATGAAACATACTATATTCACCAAAGCTCCTAGCACAAGACTGGCTAACCTTCAAGATTTTGATGAATTAAAAAGTTGCTACATATCCCTTTCATGATTTATCATCCTTTGTGCCTGTAAACATCACAAGAAAATTAGTTTTATTCTTTTATAGTCACTTCTTTCAGAAATTTTAAGATGAAGAACTGGTTTCTGTTTGTGATTTTTGTGCGAGAGCATAAAGTGTCTTTTTTTTCTTTCCCCCCAAGAGCATAAAGTATCAACTAATATTTTTGATATTGCTTAAACTCTGAAAAACTAAGTCCTCCATAAATACCTTATACTTGTCATTGAAAACTTGCTTATTTATTCAGGTACTATGCTAGATGCTAGGGGAAAAAATATACCCTCAAGGAGCTCAAATTCTATTTGGGAAAACAAACTATAACACTGAAGTGTGATAAGTGCTCTGCTATAGTCCTCTGTAGTAGATTCCGAAATGTAGCCTTTTTACATTTCCAAAAAGTAAATTTGTAAACTAACTAACTTACTTACTTATTTATTTATTTATTTAGATGCAGGGTCTTGCTCTGTTGCCCAGGCTAGAGTGTAGTGGCCTGATTATAGCTCACTGCAGCCTTAAATTCTCAGGTTCAAGCAATTCTTCTGCCTCACCCTCCTGAGTAGGTGGGACTACAGGCATGAGCCACCACACCCAGCTAATTTTTAAAATTTTTTATAGAAATGGCATCTCCCTGTGTTGCTCAGGCTGGTCTCTAACTCCTGACCTCAAGAGATCCTCCCCCCTTGGCCTCCCAAAGTGCTGGGATAACAGGCATGAGCCACTGCCCTCGGCAATTTTATAAATTTAGAAGTGTAGTCAGCAGATAGTCTTTTGATATCACGGAGGAATTACTACAGAATGTTAAATAAAACACAGTATAGTGCAGGGACGAGTAAATTTAGCCTATAGCTCAACAGAGTAGTCTGTAATAGGAGGCTGTGGTTATCCCATTCAGGAGAAGCTTCTAAAAATTCAAGCAAGGAACTTACTTAGCCTGTTTATTTCCTGAAGACATTTGTCTTTTGTTTGTTTATTACTGAATGATTTAAATGTCTTAGAGAATGAAACAAGTTTAATTTTACAACAAAAATAAACACTTTCAACTACTTATTGTTCTTACGGTTCCTAAATTGATACTGCTCAGAAAGTGTTCCTTTTAATTTTTAACACAAGCAGTCGATGTTCTTTAAAGAAAAAATTATGTTGAGGAGGAGCTGGGAGAGAAGCTCCTTGGGGGTTTGCCTTCTGCTTCCTCTATTGCCATTGCCTAAGTACCTATCAATAGATACCCACTATTCATGTGTTAACTCTAGATGTAAAAATTACTACAACAGACTTATACTGTTTAAATTAATACTTGCAGGGAGCCCAGATTCTACCTCGCCTTCCAGCAGTCCTACTTTTTGGAACTACAGTCGTTCTATGGGGGATTATGCACAAACTCTAAAAAAGTTTCAGTATCAGCTTGCCTGTAGGTCTCAGGCCCCATGTGCTAACAAAGATGAAGCCGATCTCAGTTCTAAACAAGCTGCAGAAGAGGTAAATGGAAAATAAAAAATGACTTAATATTTATGATTTATAGATTGTTAGAAAGTCTTCAACTTTGGGGACATTTTTTCTGTAATCTTCACTTTTACTGAATAGAAATGTAAATCATCTCTTTGTGTACCTAAAACTAAATTATGCTGTACATTTTACTTTGCAACACATAGTTGACATTGGTGCCCAAAAGGCTCTCAGGTATCTAATTGTGCTTAACATATATAAGACTCTTGATTGTAAAATACATTTGGATTAGAACATTTATCAATCTATAACTCCATCACTGTAGTACCAAATATGGGATTTTAATTTTTTTCTTAGATGCAATAAAAACATTCTTTAAACATACTAATATAAGGAACTTTTAAAGATATATCTGTACATGAACAGCAACTTTAAGTGGGTAATAAAATTATTGAGTATTAACTAGATGAATATGGATATTTGTGAAGATTTTTTTCAAAGTTCATCAGATTTTTTTAGGGTACGGGGAGGAATGATTCTTTGGCAGGATTTTTCCTCACTGTTCATTTTATACACGATGTATTTTTAATAGGTTTGGGCAAGAGTGACTATGAATAGACAACTTCTTGATCATATGGATTCATGGACAGCTAAGTTTAGAAATGTAAGTTCTGACATTATTCTTTGGACAATTAATGCCTTAGTATGCAAAGCATGTTATTAGAATATCAGTTAGATTTGTTAATTATTAAATAGGATATTAGAATTAATTATTATTAAAAGTACAGTGTGAATGGTACATTTATAGGGATAAACATGACATTTAGGCCGAGTGCTGTGGCTCATGCCTGTAATCCTAGCACTCTGGGAGGCCGAGGCGGGAGGATTGCTTGAGCTCAGGAGTTCGAGACCAGCCTGAGCAAGAGCGAGACTCCGTCACTACTAAAAATAGAAAGAAATTAGCTGCACAACTAAAAATACATAGAAAAAATTAGCCGGGCATGGTGGCGCATGCCTGTAGTCCCAGCTACTTGGGAGGCTGAGGCAGTAGGATCGCTTGAGCCCAGGAGTTTGAGGTTGCTGTGAGCTAGGCTGACGCCACGGCACTCTAGCCCGGGCAACAGAGTGAGACTCCGTCTCACAAAAAACAAAAAAAAACATGACATTTACCTTATGGTGTCCATTTTCATAGGATTTTCCTCCCTCCATTTTTAGTAAGTCAGTGTATTTTGAGAAGATAAAGGAACAATATGTTTAATTAAGATCTTCCCTTTTCCAGCTTTTCAATTTTATTTTCCGAAGAGCTTTTCTGTCAGTCAGATCATGTACCTAGAATTGTGAAGGAAACAAAAATGGGGTCCTTGCCCTCAGAAAACTTAAAAGTTAGAGAAATAAGACAATATGTGTTTGAAGCTACTTCAGAATACATGTAATTTCAGTTTTTCTAGAGAAGAGCTCTCTCTAATCACTGACCTGGAGGTCAACTTTTCCACATACAAAGTTGGTTAGTTCCTTTGTTTCCATCTCTACCTCTTTATCCCAATCTCTGTAGTACCAATGTGTCCCCAGGTCTGTTGGGCAGATTGGCTCCCTCCTCCACTACAGGTAGCTCCACTTACGTTCTGTAAACCCTGCTGCTTCTATTGTTTACATCCCTCAACACTCATCTAGCCACTCTGCATCTTCTAGAACTATGTTGAAATCACTTGTGCTTGTTTTTATTCTTTTGCTATAATTTACTTAGGGTATCAAGGCAGGGGGTGGGGGGGTGGGTAAAAATGATAGCCTGCTTTCTTGAACCAGAAACCTAGACAGCATTTTAAAAATAAAAATTTCTGAGCCCAACCCCAGACGTACTCAGTTAGAGTTTCTGAGAGTAAGGCCTAGATCTCTCTCCTGAACACCTTAAATAGTTTTGTTGCAGCCAAAGAGTGGCTGGCAAGTAGGATGCATGTAATAAATGTTGGAAGAATGAATGAGTGAAATGATGTCCTGGAACTGTAATCTGTCTTAGTTCCAGTGTATAGGCTAGTCTAAAAATGTTAATATATTTAAAATATAAACGCTTGGTCAGGAGTATCAGCCCCTTAGAAAAATACAAACATTAATCTTCATCTGAGTTCTTCAGGCTACTGTGTTCTGAAATTTAGAGTTTTTTGGATTTTTTAAAAAAGCAATATGTGTATACCTGTACCATATATTTTGTAACACCACGAGCAGAGTCTAGTTAGTACCCAGGAATGGACTACATTAATATTTTCATAACAAAGCATATGAACAGTCATACTAAGTGCAATAAAATCTATAAATAGCTTCATGTGATCTCAGTTCAAGTCTTACCAGTATATCAAATTTTGCTTGCTAAATGGATTACAAAAAAACTTTATTTTCAGAAGTTTTAAATTCAAAATTGTTTATGAGGAATTGTGGACTCGTTTTTTCATCTGAAACATTTTTTGAGCCTTTCATTTTGTAGTTAAACAAAAGCATGGAAACAGAAGTGGTGATTGAAGTTGCTACAAACACACACACACAACAATAACACACAAACCAGACAAGGAGTTTGCTTAGACAGTCTTTTCACATCCCAGAATTAGTTTGATATTAGCTATGGAAAAGGATTTTGAAATTTCCAGTCCTAAAATAATATTGTAATATTTGCAAACCAATTTCAAATGTGATAAATCTCTGTGGTTAGGGAAGTAGGTGAGCCTGCTGAGAGTTAATCAGTTATATTAGTTTGAAAAACTATCTTACTTATCACAAACCAGTACAAATACTGTGTTAATAAATGTGTGCTGGAAATACAAACTGAAGATTATCCTTTTAGCTGAGTATAATAATCATAGAAAAAAATATGAGTAGAAATTTAACATACAGCTAAGTTTTATATTTTCTTCAGAAAAAAACAGGCATGTCATTTAAGAATATAACTTAATTAATTTACACTCCAGTAGCATATTTACTTAACTCTTGACTTCAGGTAGCTGCTACTTCCATTGTCTTTCGTTGTACTTTGTGACTGTTAATATTCAAGTAAAGGATAGTAAGAAAATTCTTATAGTTGCTTTTAAAAAAGAAAATAATTATTTGAGAAATACTTTGGAATTATATATGCAAAGTCTATACCTCATTTTTTCCTAGTGGATCAATGAGACAATATTAGTGCCACTTGTACAAGAGATTGAGTCTGTCAGCACACAGATGAGACGAATGGGCTGTCCAGAGCTACAAATAGGAGGTATGTGAAAATAGAACCCAACATTTGATTTACTGTCGATAAATCTGCCAAGTGGAATATTTCTTCTTGTAATGGGCTATTTCACAACTTTTTTGGTTATCTTGAGGTAAAGATAAAAACCAGAATGTCTGTAATATAGTTTTTTCTTAAGTATAACAGCTTTGAGATGTAATTTACCTACCATACAATTTATTCATTTAAGTATATAAGCCAAAGGTTTGGGTTGTGCAACCATCGCCACAGTCAATTTCAGAACATTTCATTACCCCCCCCCAAAAAAAACCCATACCCTTTAGCAGTCACCCCCCATCTCATGTGTTCCCCCAGCATTAGGCAGGTACCAGTCTATTTTCCACCTCTGTGGATAGGCCTGTTCTGGATGTTTCACATAAATGGAATCACACAATATGTGGTCCTTTGTGCTGCCTTCTTTCACGTAACATAATGTTTTCAAAGTTCATCCGTGTTGTAGCATTTAACAGTAATTCATTTTTTTTATTGCTGAATTGTATTAAAAATAGATCTATCTACCATGTTTTGTTTATCCATTTGTTTATCCAGTTGATTAGCATTTGGGTTGTTTCCACTTTGGGGCTACTGTGAATAATGATGCGATGCTGTGAACAATCACGTACAGCTGTTTATGTGGATATATGTTTTCATTTCTCTTGGATATATACCTAGGAGTGGAATTGTCGAGCCATATGGTCCCCTCTGTGTTTAACCTTTTGAGGAACTGCCAGGCTCTTTTCTGAAGCAGCTGCAC